TTCGGGCTAACGGTGTCGGAGAAGAAGACGGAGACGCTCCTGATGCGCGCAAAGTACAAGCCGACTACAACATCATAGCCCGCCCCGCCTTCACCACTGACCATCGAAGTCGCGGGACAGAAATACCCCCAGACGACCGAGTTCCGGTACCTCGGTGGCCTCGTCAACGAACATGGCGACCTCACCCGGGAGATCAGCTACAGGAGCAGAGGAGCGTGGGCGTGCCTCAGGCGATATGGCCGGGAGCTCTTCGACAGACCGCAAGCGCCATTCCGACTCAAGATCCGCCTGCTCCAGGCGGAGGCGATGGAAGCACTGCTGTACGGTTGCATGACATGGTCACCTCTCAGCGGCCACTTTCAGACTCTGCGGTCGATACACCACCGACTGCTCCTTCGAGTTATCGGGTACAAGCGCAAGAAAGACACCTACCGGCAGCTCTTTTACGCCCAGACGCTGAAGAGGGTCGAATGCCAGAGCGTTGAAGCCACGATCCGACAAGGACGCCTACTGTTCGAGGGAGCATTGGCAAGGCAGCCGGACGGGCGACTCCCGAAACGACTGATGTTCGGCGAACTGGCAGGGGAGAGAAGCCACGTAGGGGGGGACAGGAACAGAACTGGCCGAAGTGTGTGCTTGACGACCTGAAGGCATTCGGGGCCGACCACGGATCTACGAAAACCGATCCATGTTGTTTCGGAATCCCGGTACCGAAAGACACGGCACCGACGTTAAAGTGGACGGAAGCCGCGAAGGTAGAGGGGGGAGTACCCTGGCATGCGGCGGTGCTGCAGGGAGCTGAGAGGTTCATGACCTCCTGGCACGAGAAGGAAGAAGAGGCCAGCCGACAACGGGCGCTCAATCGAAACCGCAAGCCACCAACCAATGGGGCGGGAGGGGGGCAGGAGACGGACGAGACGGCGAGGGAAAAAAGCAAACGAGAAGAGACGGACCGAGTGGCCCGATACGTGCCGGATTGAATTTCTTTTAGCCAATTCCCCGCCCCCCAACCCTGCACTATTGCACCAACCCCCCACTAGTGATGACGTATCATTTCAATGTATCGCTGGTTGGTGGCCATGTTTGCGTGTTTGCTTGTGGTTAGTGGTCTCTCCACCCTGTGCCTTTTCTGTCTCGTATTTCTTGTTATTTTCGGCCTGGTCCCTTTTTGTCCTCGCTTTTTTTTCATTTTCTCTTTCCTTACTAGCTGTTTCCTTTTATTTTCTTCTCTTTTTCTGTACCAGATGGCCTTGTCTCTGCTTGCGTTGTGAAGTACCAAGATTGAACCAAGGGGGTGTACCTCTTCTCTTCGGCCCGTGATGGTGACTCCTCTGGTCTCAGTTGTTATACCTCGCATAGCGCGCAGAGGGAGTGGAGGACTCCAGAATATCTGTCGTTGATTTCTATTGACTTGCGGACCCCTCGAGGCCATTTTGTTTGAGTGCACCTTTTAAGGGAAAGTTAGCCTGCGACCACGGGAATCGACCGCGTCGAGTGTTGTATCAGTACGGACATACGAAGGTACTGGGTGGAGAGAGATCGGAACGGTTTTCAATGTGAAGGCAACAACAACAACAACAACAACAACAACAACAACAACAACAACAACAACAACAACAACAACAACAATATGTCTTGGCGACGGGAGAAAAAAATGACCCTACTGAGACTCGAACTCAGGGTGGCAGATTCAGAGTCTGCAGTGTTACCGACTACACCATAGGGTCAATCACGAGACCCGTGCGGCTGCATTTGCCACTTAATCGCCATGTTTTACAGATAGTCTAGCGTATTGTCACAACGCGGTTGCCCCTCGGCGAGAACCCATGTCTAGGCGACGGGAGAAAAAAAATGATCCTGCTGAGACTCGAACTCAGGGTGGCAGATTCAGAGTCTGCAGTGTTACCGACTACACCATAGGGTCAATCACGAGACCCGTGCGGCTGCATTTGCCACTTAATCGCCATGTTTTACAGATAGTCTAGCGTATTGTCACAACGCGGTTGCCCCTCGGCGAGAACCCATGTCTAGGCGACGGGAGAAAAAAAATGATCCTGCTGAGACTCGAACTCAGGGTGGCAGATCCAGAGTGCGCAGTGTTACCGACCCCACCATAGGGTCGATCACGGGATACGTAAGAATGGTGTTCATGTATCAATATTTTTCTTCACTTTAAACTTGTGTCAGTTGCTAATCCCAAAATCTAGCAAAGATTCGGTCCGTGGTCACAAAAATGCTAGAGCCATCAGAAGATCTAAAGAGCACAAACGTATTACCAAGGAAAGGGTACACAAGCCCGAGGAGGTACACCTACAATCCCTGCAGNCCCACACACTACAAATCGACTACAGCAGCAGCATCACCCCCCTTGTCCCGCATTTAACCAAAATGAATGTTTGTTGACTACAGCGTACTGCTGTCTGAAGTGCTGTCAGAATGAGTCCGTGGACATTCAATGAAGAAGAACACCCAACCAAAGCCATCATTGCAATTGACAATCACCCGAATCTATCCCGATCATCTGTGTTAGGCACAGCAGTTGTTTTGTTGTTGTTGTTTCTCACATTAGCTCTATTGTCCACAAAAAATGGGNCCCACACACACTACAATTCGACTACAGCAGCAGCATCACCCCCCTTGTCCCGCATTTAACCAAAATGAATGTTTGTTGACTACAGCGTACTGCTGTCTGAAGTGCTGTCAGAATGAGTCCGTGGACATTCAATGAAGAAGAACACCCAACCAAAGCCATCATTGCAATTGACAATCACCCGAATCTATCCCGATCATCTGTGTTAGGCACAGCAGTTGTTTTGTTGTTGTTGTTTCTCACATTAGCTCTATTGTCCACAAAAAATGGGGAGCCCGTGGTCTCAAAACCCGGCACATACGACGCCGCGGGGAAACGAAACAAACATAGGGTACAAATCACTCGGAAAAAAGAAAAGAAAATGATAGATAGGAAAGAGAGCTACCGCACCGACCGGTCGAGAAACGAGCCCTCGGAAACCGATCAAAATAAGAGAAAAACAAAATAGTGGAGGACGCTTCCCACACCCGCCCAAAGAAAAAATCAAAGGGTAACGTACCAGCACCAGGCACTACGCACCAGGGCATGGGAGTAACGGAGCAAACAGGACAAAGAGGCGGCAGATGGGCAGACAGCCAGACGTACAAAAACAAAGGCAACAGCAAAAGCGAGATCAAGGTACCCAACACAGC